ATGATTCATCCCAGCGCATCTTCATGGCGCCACAAGGTTGAAAACACTATGATGCTGGTTTGCTTTTGAAAGGTTACTTGTTCATGGGGTTCTTGGTTTAGATTATTTGATATATCATGATTAAGATCTCATCATTACTCATGCCATATCAAATGACGGCATATGCCACATAGAAGCCAGAAAGCATCTTGAACCCTTCCAGCTGCAAGACCTGGCAGCCAACTGGATAACACCTGGTTGCAACTGAACTTGCATATATATATATATATATGTCTGTGTGTCTGTGTGTGTGTCGTGTCCCCCCTCCCTGAAACCTACCTTTTTGGTACCCGCCCTCGAGTCCAAGCCCAGAAGACTTTTTTCGATATCCGCCCCAACTCCACCCACGTCCGTCCGCAGCGGATATGCCTCGTTCCCTTGCTCTCTTCTCCTGTTCCAACCCATGCCTACCTTTCGATCTTTCACCCTTCCCTCTCAAGTTTTGGATACAGAATACTGTGGAAAAAACAAGGTACCGGGTACGCAATACGGTGAAATCAAAAGAATTGATAGATTTAAATTGATTTCAATTTACTTTCAATTGATTTCAATTTGTTTTGAATTGATTTGAAGTTACTTTGAATTGATTTCAATTTACTTTCAATTGATTTCAATTTATTTTGAATTGATTTGAAGTTACTCTGAATTGATTTCAATTTACTTTCAATTGAATTCAAATTATTTTGACTTGATTTGAAGTTACTTTGAATTGATTTCAATTTACTTTCAATTGATTTCAATTTATTTTGAATTGATTTGAAGTTACTTTGAATTGATTTCAATTTACTTTCAATTGATTTGAAGTTACTGCCTTTTTTCCCTTCAATCGACATCCCATAGAAATCCAATAGTAGTCCCAAAGAAATATCATAGAAATACCATGGAAATCCCATAGGAATCTCACAGAAATCCCATAGAAAGATCATAGAAATAACATGGAATAGCATAGGAACCACAAAAGAAATCCCATGAGAATTCCAATAATAATCCCATAGAAATATCATAGAAAATACCCCTAAGTTGATCCTCTATAAAATGCCGATGCTTTGACTCTATAAAATCCTGTTCCGGGACCCATTTTATAGAGGACTGGCTTGGCCGTCTATAAAATGCCCCTCCAGAGCTCCCTATTTTATCATTTTATAGAGAGCTTCCCTCCCAGCATCAAAGATGATAGAGAGGTGCAAGATGTTGCAGATGGATGATGCATTTTATAGGAGGGATTCTTTGCAAAATGTTACCGTCAAAAAATAAGTACCACAAATGGCTTTGTTGGTATTTTTTTTGGGAAAACATTCATATAAATGCATACTTAATAGATAGATAGATAGATCTGCACTAATTTTAACATTTCACTATGGTACAAAAGCAACTTTTTCTTGTTTACAAACCATAAAAGTGACATTTTTCATTTTGCATCATTTTCCCCACTGATTTTCTCACGTTGTGTCTCCCCTTTCCTGCTCCTCGTTGTGTCTCCACACTTCCGGCTGAAACCTCGGCTCGCTGGCGTTTGTCGAGTCGGGGTTCCGCCAACGTGCGCGCGCGTGTTTAACGCGCGCGCGCGCGTTGGTGGAAAGGCGGAAAGACTGGTTTTTTGCCCGATGTCGCGCTGCGTGTTTTTGCACACGCTTCGTCTGCGGAGAAGCATTTCATAGAGATGACGGAGAGGTCATTTCATAGAGGGTTCCCACTTGCTGTCTATATGTTGGCTGACGGAGGACCATTTTATAGCCAATTTTCTCTATAAAATGCTTCGTAAAGCATCCTAGGGAACAAGCAAGGGGTATCATAGAAACATCATGGAAATACCTTGGAAATCCCACAGGAATCCAATAGAAATTCCATAGGAATCCAATAGAAATACCATAGAAATCCCATAGGAATCCAATGGAAATCCCATAAGAATACCATAGAACTCCCATAGCACCCCTTCAGAAATCCCACAGAAATCCTCCAGAAATATCATAGAAACATCATGGAAACCCCATAGGAATTCCATAGAAATCCAATAGTAATACCATAGAAATACCATAAAAGAAAAAAAACTTTAGCAAAGGAAAAGGTAAAGGGAATGCTTGAAAAAAAATCACACCAGGAAGCATCTGGACACAATAGTGTACCCTCCAAACAAACCACACTATTGTGTATCAGGGTTGCTCATGGACTACCCCCTTGAAAAATTGTTTGAGTGATGTATGTTAAATGGGTTTTAATAAGGCATCATATATTTTGGGAAATTGGGCATTTCTGGGAATTTCAAATGAAAGAAACTAAGAAAGTAATTAATTAATTAAAAGGAAAAAACTTTAGCAAAGGAAAAGGTAAAGGAAATGATTGCAAAAAAAAACAAAATCACCTCAGGAAGCAGCTGGACACAATAGTGTACCCCCCAAACAAACCACACTATTGTGTATCAGGGTTGCTCATGGACTACCCCCTTGAAAAATTGTTTGAGTGATGTTTTTTATTTGGGTTTTAATAAGGCATCATATATTTTGGGAAACTGGGCATTTCTGAGAATTTCAAATGAAAGAAACTAAGAAAGTAATTAAGTAATTAAAAGAAAAAACTTTAGCAAAGGAAAAGGTAAAGGAAATGATTGAAAAAATCAAAAAGTCATGACCTCAGGAAAGCAGCTGGACGCAATAGTGTACCATCCAAACAAACCACACTATTATGTATCAGGGTTGCTCATGGACTACCCCCTTGAAAAATTGTTTGAGTGATGATTTTTAATTGGGTTTTAATAAGGCATCATATATTTTGGGAAATTATTGGGCATTTCTGAGAATTTCAAATGAAAGAAACTAAGAAAGTAACTAAGCAATTAAAAGAAAAAAACTTTAGCAAAGGAAAAGGTAAAGGAAATGATTGAAAAAAATCAAAAAATCATGACCTCAGGAAAGCAGCTGGACACAATAGTGTACCCTCCAAACAAACCACACTATTATGTATCAGGGTTGCTCATGGACTACCCCCTTGAAAAATTGCTTGAGTGATGTTTTTTATTTGGGTTTTAATAAGGCATCATATATTTTGGGAAATTGGGCATTTCTGAGAATATCAAATGAAAGAAACTAAGAAAGTAATTAAGTAATTAAAAGAAAAAAACTTTAGCAAAGGAAAAGGTAAAGGAAATGATTGAAAAAATCAAAAAGTCATGACCTCAGGAAAGCAGCTGGACGCAATAGTGCACCATCCAAACAAACCACACTATTGTGTACCTGGATGTAATTTTCTGTGGAAGGCATCTAGAAAATTTCAATGATGGAAAATAAAAAGTAAAAGAAAAAAGCTTTAAAAAATGAAAAAAATGAAAAATGTTTGAACAAACAGAAACAAGACCAAGACACAATTGTGTATCCTGACACAATGACACAATTGTGTATCCTGACACAATTTAAAAAAAATAATATAAAAATTATTATAATTAAAACTAAAAATAAAAAATACTTAAATTAAAAATTGTTATAATTAAAATAAAAAATAATTTAAAATAAAATAAAAAATAATTAAATTAAAACTTATTATAACTAAAAATAAAAATAAAAAATAATTTAAAATAAAATAAAAAAAATAAATTAACAATTATTATAATTAAAAATAAAAATAAATAATTAAAAATAAAAATAAAAAATAATTAAAAACTAAAAACACAAAAAAATGAAAAAACAACTTACACCAAAATCTTGTGGACACAAAACTGTACCCCTCGATCATTTCCAAAGATACAAAATAATTTTGCAGTCTGTGGACACAATCCTGTATCCCCACACTAATCTGTATCCCACATTAGGCTTTTATTTTTAGCTCTATCCTGGTGAGGATTTGGGGATTTGAGCAATTCGGAGCGATTTGGGCATCCGTATTCCCAATAAAAAATGTGGAGCAAAGGAACTACTCAGAGTTCCCAGCCAAATGGTAGATTTCGTGGTCATTTTTTGTGGGAAAATACATGGAACATTTGATGGATGGGCTGTTCCCAACTGAATTAGCTGGTGATTTTCCATATTTGTGGTATGTTCAACCAGCATATTTTTCGGGGGGTTGAAGACACTAACTAGTCAATGTTATTGTCATTGCTAATGTGGAAAACAATGGTTTTTACGTCAGTATTTGGATGGATAAATTGAAAATGCACCATAGTCATAGTTGTATAAGTTAATATAAGTTAATATGTAAATGCGATAATTGATATTATGTGATTTTTCAGACATGATGGCAGTTCAACCAGGATTGGTCATTTGAGATGAGTCTCTTGGTCCACAAAATCATTGAACTTTGCCCAGACCAACCCAATATTCATCAGCAATTTTAATTTTCTTTATTTTTAAAATTCTCCCCATCAAAGTTGCTAATAAACCGCGAGGTCACCCATTCTGAGAGACATCCGCATACCAGAGACGTCGAGACGTTTCAGAACTGGCTGAAAAACAGAGAACACACACATTGCAATTTCATTGAACACATTATACATGATGATCAACTTACAGATCATGCACTTTAATTTTCATAGGTATATTATAACCATAGTCCAATCGGGGCCGCCTGTCTCCCAACTTATAGGGGGTTATAATCCCATGATTATACCAAGTATGCTGTCAATATATCCCACTAATATAAAGTGTATCCCATTCCTAAGCCCGTCACATCCCATAACTCATATCCCATCGAAAATCCCATCGAAAATCCCATGAATGGGATTGAGATGTTCATCAATCAATTTTCATAGCTAAATCATGATAAAATCAGGACCAACCATTCAATTGGAATTTCAGGATCCTAAAATGGAGGTACTGTACCATATTTTTGGCCATATTTTGTGGGGATATTCCCTTGCATAGGCCTTATAATATATATATATATGTATATACACCTCCAATCAATCGGTTCCTGAAATGGCCATTGAACCAATGGATATCTTGGGGTCACTGGCCATGGTTGCCCTGGCGCCATCTTCCAGGCACCTGCGGTCCGTTGCAACACATCTCCCCCCAGCCGCGGCTGGTGCAGAGCTTCATCAGTCGCTCTGCAGATCAACTTCCAGGTGCTGTTCGAACTTGGCGAAGTGTTGGATCTGTTGTGTTTATGGAGAAAAACAAAATATCCCGGCAATAGACCCCAAACAGTGTGGGGGGTAGTAAAAAGATCATGTATGATAATGTTGATGATGATGTTAATGTTGATGACGATGCTGATGATGATGGTGATGTTGTTGTTGATGATGATGATGGTGATGATGGTGATGATGGTGATGATGGTGGTGATGATGAGGAGGAGGAGGAGGATGAGGATGATGAGGATGATGATGATGATGATGCTGGTGATGATGATGATGATGGTGATGGTGATGGTGATGGTGATGATCATGGTGATGATCATGGTGATCATGATGATCATGATGATCATGGTTTTCATGATGATTATGATGATAATGATGATAGTGACGATGATGATGGTGATGGTAATGGTGACGATCATGATATCATGGTGATCATGACGGTGAATGATGATGATGATGGTGATGATGATGATGGTGGTGATGATTATGGTGATGATGAAGATGATGATGTGGATGCTGAGGAGGAGGAAGATGATGAAGTTGAGGAGAATGATGTTGAGGAGGAAGACCGATCCCAAGACTGGGAAGCACACTTTGTGCGAGCGGGCGCAATCGAAATGCACACGGACATTTCACAATACGCGTATCCTGCGGCCAGCGTTTTGCGCGAGCCTGTGCAGTCGAAATGCACATGGACATGTCACAAGAGGCATTTTGTGCAGAAATTTACAGGGAAAATGCCGGACGCTTCCGATACCACCTCGATTGGACACCGGGCCTTACCGTAAGAACCCCTCAGTGTGGACACACTGTTTGGGGAAAGAAAGGATATTAAATTTTGGTGGCTAGTTCTTGTGAGTTTTATTGAAACTAACTTTTCACTGTGGCCTACCTGATATGAAATACCCCTGTTATCCACGCTTGTACTATATGATATTATATGGTCTATATGGGTTGCGTAGGACTGATCTTGTGATTCCTGGGATTCACATCCAAGGAACCCCATTTTTGGTTGAAGGTTTGTGAACTTTATGACGGGATATTTTTTTTGTAACTGATATGTTGTGGCCAAGTTGGTTTACAACTCCAACAACTGTTGGGTTTATGGTAGCTAGTCATATTCAAAACACACAGTAACCGAAGGGCACCACTTGCGGTGAAATCATCCAATTTTGAGGGTGAGTCATTTTTTTTAATCTCATGGTATCTCTGGTTGATTTGCCGGTTTGAAAATTATCAGATAATTTTACACCAATTTGGCCAGATTTATAGGCGTACGGATGTGTACGGTGTTGTCCCCATTTTGTTCGAGCGAAACCCTTAGACACTTGGCGAATGTCCTTCACTTACATCTGCGCATCCACTTCCCACCAGGTGGTGCCTTGCAGTTATGTTTGTTGATTTAAGTTAAATTTGTTTAAGTTACCACCATTAAGATCCATTAAGTACATACTGTATCTATGATATATTTAGGTAACCCCAAGAAACACAATCGAGTTATTTGCACCAACGTACCCAACAATTTGGTGTTCAACACCTTGCAGCTGCTATTGGCCGCAGGCCTCACGTCCTCCAGTTTCAACTCCCTCACCAACTGCTTCGGCTTTGGTTCACCACGCCCCCCCTCCCCGGCCGGGCCGATGGCGGGGCGCTTTGAGGTCCGAGATTTGCCGTTGGGTTGCTGAGTGAGAACTGTTCATGGCGATGGTGAACAATGGAAGTGCTAATATATATATATATACCCAGAGGATCCATGTATGCTATATATGGTAACATTGACCATCAATATACCCCCAATGTTAGCATATATACCATACATGGAACCTATGGGATATGGCATATGGGATGCATTTGGGTCTATCCGAAAAATGTTGGGACACCCGACACCCCTTCAATTTTAATGGTCGATCATCAAAGAAAACATGTTGGATCATTTTGTCGCATCCTAAATACAACCCTGGTAACCATCGAAAACATTCGAAAACTATGAAATTACATGAAATTACAATGAACGAGAAACATGAAAAAAAATACTGTACGGAATGGTCGTTGATGGTTGTTGGGTTCTACTCCAGAAGAGACTGACAGAGGTTGACCTGCGCTCAGATTATGGTGTGAGGTGGCGACTCAAGCCACATTGAAACAAGCATCACACATGGTTTTTAGTAGCTGAAATGACGGTTGTGTGGAACTGTTGTGGATGAACACCATACCAACAAACAATAAAATCGTGCAGTATTCTTCTATGTCCGATGGGAAGGGTATAACAAGGTATGTCAACGCTTGATCGGCAAAAAAGGAGAGAGTTTTGCCCTTTTAAAGCAAACGGAATTTGTCCCAAGGCACATAAAACTGTTAGTTAATTGGTTAAAACTCTCGCAATATCCTGAAATGTTTGACAAACCATGAACAAATATCAGAAGATCTTTGCGATGTGGCTGAGTTCTTGCTTGACTTGATCCAGCGGTTCGATGTTCCCACCTGAGCCCCGTAGATCATTTTACCATTCAAGACCACTGTAGAAATCTCTGCAAATCATGTTTGGCATTGTTTCTCCAGATGACAATCAATAGAAATTGCCTCAAAACATATTATGTAATGTGGTAAACCCAATACTAGTCACCATCCCTAATAGAGGTTTATTAGTGTGATTTATTGGTTTTATATCTGGCAAAAGGATGATGTTTAGCATGACCCCCGGTCATGGTTTGTGAATGGGATTGTTTATGTTACTATTGGGTTTATCACATTACTGTAATGAATAACACATATGTTGGAATATTTATAACTTATGTAAACACTTAACTTATAACCGATAAGCGTACCGTATCATATTCTAAACATATATAAACATATAGATACATGAATAGTATATAAACATGTAACATATTGTAACACAATGTGTATATATATATAGTCAGTACTTATACATATATATATATATATATACACATACAGTATCTATGATCTTTTATGGCTGGTTATGTAACAAGCAGATTCAGCCAGGCGAGTTTTGTCGCCTTCTGAGGCTTTTGGCCCTTCGATCCCAATCTGCCCGCGCTGCGCGGTCAGCTGCTGGCCGCTTTGGGTGCCAGCAGCAGCAGCCGCTTTGAAACTTGGCGCTTCCGTTGGCGGCCAGGGGCCACGGAAAGTGATAAAAGTGGTGGGTTTTATGGGATTATTTCATGGGGAGGGCGGCATGGGAATGGAATAGTTAGCTATTTTCTAAGCTGGTGACCAGAATAGTGAGCTAAGTTGCTGCACATAACTCCAGTTTGACTGTTGGGTTTATGGTAGATATATCGAACTACTGTGGTTTAGAAACCAACAAACATAATTGGGGGTGTCAATACTAAGTCATGGTCATCCATGACTTGGATGATTTGGGGGTATCCCTACTTTAGGAAGCACCCAGATGGGGAACAAATCGAAAGATGAAGCTGACAGAAATCAAGAGACTTTAATATTTAAAGCCATACCCCTTATCGGGAGAGTTGGTTAGCTAAAATCATCAGTTCATCTCTTGTATTGTCCATGAGTACATGATTTGTTCAGCAGTGTTTGGTTTGCAGAATGGTGAATCTGTGATGTGGATATGTAGGTAACAACTGAGAGTCTCGATCGGAATCAAAGATGACATGGACCTTGCGAGGAGGAGCTCTCCCAGGTATCCTACATGGGGAAGGCGGCTGACCCATCGCTGGATATCATCCCCACCACCAGAGACCAGCAGCGAGGATCCTATGGAATCACCACAGCAGGTGCTGTTTTTGACCATCCCCAAGTCCAGTAGGGCTCAGTGGGGCTCATGTTGGGTCGTCATTTGCAAAATCTTGTTCTTACTGGTGCGTTTTACGTAGGGAATGGAAGGGTTGCTTGGGGGTTGCTGGGATTGTTATTCGTTATTGTGGATCATTCCCGAAAATTCCCTACGTTTAGCACCAGTAAGCATAACCATATTACTATTACTAGATCCCATATCAATACATGTCAATACCATTCACCACTGTTAATCACCAAAAAAGACACCGTTCATAGTAATTGGTTAATCCCTATTAACAATACCTCAATTGGTTAATCAATACACTGTTAATCAATACATATCAATACCTTAATTATGGTTCATCCCTATGAATCATATTACTATAGCAAACTGTTTGTTACTCTTACTGTTACTAGTACTAGATCCCATCAACACCATTAACCACCGTTAATCCCTATTAACAATTAATCAATGGGAATTTCAGGATCCTAAAATGGAGGTACCTACCATATATAAGGCCTATAATATAAGGCCTATGTAAGGTGATATCCCTAGAAAATATGCCCTTATATGGTACATTCCTGAAATTCCCATTGAATTAAGGAAACCTGCCATTTCACAACGGTGCCCTGGCCGGGCCCTGGCTGGCCCCATGGCCCCAGGAAGCGATGACGGGGTTTCACGGCGGCCTCAACGATGGCCCCTCGAAACGATGGCCATCGCCTGAAGATATGGTCCATCCATGTGCGAAAAGCCATGGGAAAATGGGAAAACCATAGGACAAGCCATAGTAAAATGGAGGTTTACCATCATATTGGGAATTTCAATAGAATTTACTGGTTGGTGGTTTGGAACAATGCCATAAACAACAGCCATGACTGGGAATATCTATGGTTAATCTATGGTTAATCTATGGTTAATAATTGGAATAACATAATTTATCTGGTTGGTGGTGACTGGAACCATGGAATTTTATGACTTTCCCATCATATTGGGAATAATCATCATCCCAACTGAATAACTCATATTTTTCAGAGGGGTTGAAACTACCAACCAGATTTAACGACTACACACTTACCCTTTGGTAAATTAACATAGCGAACTGGAAAATGGTCCATTTATATATAATTGATTTACTTGTTAGACATGGTGATGTTCCACCGTTGTGTTAGTTTACCAGAGGGTAACTTCAATAGAAATAATAATAAAGAAGCAACTTAATTGTTCAATATTTGATTTATTTGGATGAAGTTTTGAAAAGTGACTTTTTCAATCTTTATGAACTTTTGGTAACCCCCAAAAGATCGAATTTACGGAAGGATTTACCCAAAAAACATGTCAGGGGTTGCGATAACATAATTAATATAAATTATAGATTATAATGATTTAAATCCTAGATTGGCGGTCGAACATGGACCCAGAATAGGCGGGCACCCCCCAAATTCCCAAATGAAATTTATTTGGGAAAATTATTGCACATGATTCACGTGATGACCCTACTTTCAGAGGAGCACATCTTGTGCTAGTAATTAGATTGCAAGTTTATGAATAGATGGATCCATCAGGGTAATGTGTGGTATATAATTTCATATTTGGTATGTATTTTGGCATGATTAAAATTGCATTGCCATTTTGATAAATGTCATTGCAACTTTTCAAAATCAAATTTATTTTTGTATGTCATTGGACAATTTGCCAACCAACTCAAAACAATATACATTATTGCATGGATATCTAAGATTCAGGTATGGTAAATAGGTATGGCTTAAAACTCAGATATCAATGGACCCACACATTTTGTTTTTTTGGATTAAATAGATCAAACCATCCACTGTTGGGGGTCTAATCATTTTGATCATGCAATCATTCGGATTAATAGACTATAGGTTATGTTGCAAATCCTTGAAATGGGAGATTTACCAACCTTCGTACATTAGTTTTCTCCTTCAAAGCCAACAGCTGGAAGGTAGCCTTTTCTGATTGGCTGTAGTAAATGAAGGCATATTTAGATGCCCACAAGGTGGTGCCCCAGTTACAAGTTGGTTTATAACCCCCATTAATCATAGTTGTAGGATGTTGTAGGTATCATAAACCAAACTTATTGGAGTTATAAACCAACTTGGCTAATTATGGGGCACCACTTATATCATGGTATATCACGGTATATCATGGTATATCATGGTATATCTACCATGAACCCAAGTGAAATTGGAGTTATAAATGTTACGCACCAACTCAGCGATTCCGGCCTGGGGCAGCACCTTGCAATGCGTCCGAAGGGGATCATTAAATATGGAAAATTCTTGGCAAAACCATGCTCAACCACCAAATTAAGTGAGGCTTTAATCAAATTTTCCGACAAGAAACTCTAGACAAGCCCATTCTTGTTGATTCTACTCTCCATGTTTGTTGTTTATCAGAATTGTGTTGCTCCAATTGTCACCCAAATGGACTTGTTGCGTCTCTGCAACTTTGCTAAGGTATTTGGTTCTTGCGTGGGGCTCCAGGTCGCAAACTTCGGCGGGGCGGGCCAGTTGGTCTCTACCAAGAACGATAATCAAGTCTTTACAGTCTATAGAAGCTGCCGTGCGTGTTTTGATGTGTTTTTAGGTCTTTTCATGAATCCCATATGCTCAATGTATGGAATATTTACCTACATTTACCCAACAAATGGCCCAAATGTAGGTAAATATACTATACATGGAGCATCTGGGAATTGGTATTCAGGAAATGAAAGGTGGATCCAGCTGGTTTCCAAAGAAACTCATGCATCTGAATTCCAGCCCGCCTAGAAAGTCGCAGACCATAGTGTGTTTCCTCCACAGAAATCACCACATTAGTATAGTATTTCCAGGGAAAGCTACAGGGAATCCAGAAATTGCATATGTTCAATATAAATCCTTTTTCCATGTTGGTTTTAGATGGTTTTGTGGGTTCTGATCATGCCTTCGTTTAGTCACAAACTTATCACCTTAATTTGGACAGTGCACAGGATTGATGTCCCCTTGAACATTGACTGTTTACCTACCCTTATTTGGTCGGTGTTTTTATGGACAACACGTACTTCAGTAGAGTAACCAAAGGACACTCGCTCATTTGCGGATTATGCCCATGGTATCCCATGTTTTTTGTTCCTTAGCATCGATCCATCCTGGAATTGGTATATATATATATTAATATATATATATAATATATATTAATATATATATGCGTCAAAGAATGCCATAAACAATGCCATAAACAACAGCCATGACTGGGAATATCTATGGTTAATCTATGGTTAATAATGGTTAATAATTGGAATAACATTATATCTGGTTGGTGGTTTGGAACATGTCTTATTTTTCCCATCATATTGGGAATTTCATCATCCCAACTGACGTTCATATTTTTCAGAGGGTAGGTATACCACCAACCAGATATATATTCTATATATAACATGTTATAACGTATAACCAGCCAAAAACCGAAGAAAGCAAACTGGATGCTTGATCTGGACGCAAGATCAATCCCAAGACCACTTTTCGGAAAAGGACAGAATTGTGTCGGCTCGCAGGTGAGACTCTGGTGCTGAAGTTGGTGAAGTATGATAGGCGGCAAGATGTTGGGCTGGAGTGGTTGTTTCGCTTGGCCAAGGCATCCCAATTTTTTCCCAAATCATCACATGTTTGCATATGTTTGCCATTTGCACAGAATCAAGGGACAAAAAATCATGAACTCACTTCTCTTGCACCGTATCTACACAATTCGCCGTGGGAAAATGGAAAAAACCACAGGTCGGTCTCCCCAGAAGGATAGAACCGTTCAACCCGACATATCAAACATGGGACTTGGGGAAAAATGACCAATGTGGTAAACCCAATGCCATAAACCATCCCCAAAATCACAGTAAATGAGTGATACAAAATCATCCCCAAATGGTAGGTTCAGTATTGCGTTTCCCACATCAAGATACCTTCATAATATACCAGAATATACTAGTACTGTTTTGGGGATAAACAGGATAACCCAACCTGACTCGAAGGAAATATCTCGGAACTTCAGTCGCGAGGTTTGCTCCTCCTCAATTGGTGGAAGAGCGTATTTTCTCGAAGTTGTATCAGGAGCGAGATCTTCTTAAGGGGCGGGAGGCTCTGGGGCACAAAATTGATCAAACATTGGTTAGTTGCTGTTGAACTGGGAGAACAATTGAGTTATTGAAAAAATGGTTTGGTTGATGATTTAACTATCTATACTGTATATAATTATATATATATATAGTTGTTTTTGTTTATTGGAAAAGTGATCAACAATTCGTTTCTGTTGAAGTACATACATGAGAGAAACTATGATGTTCGGCAGGTAAGCTTTGCCAGAAAGATAGATCAAACATGAGATAGAGAGAGAGAGAGAGGCGGAGTTATATTGATCTGGAGAGACACCAAATGGATCCAAATGGTAGTTTTGATAATGGGGTGATCCCCAATTGACTGTTGTGTTGGACATTTAGGTGAAGCCATGTGGATTGGAAGCCATTTGGCAGCGAGTCAGCCAATAATTTTCCCGTGTTCAACGGGTTCTTTTCGGTGTTGGACATAAATGCAAGTGGTGTTCCGAAACTGTTCGTCACTTATTTTTGTTGGTGAGTTGCTCATCTTGCTCACTTAAAAGCATCTTCTTATTAACCATTATAAGCGTTAGCCCTCTTATATAGCAATATTTTATAGCCATTGTGTAGCCATGTTATAGCCCAGGGTCGGTGGGATTGGCTCAACGATTCGCCCGAAGTGGCCGGTTGGCCAAAACGATGTGCCGTTGATTTCCCCCAGTTTTTGTTGATCTTCTAAGTCCTTGCAGGTTTTCAGTGGTGTTATGGTCTTCCATGGTTTTTATATGTTTTTATGTTTCAATGTAAAAAAAAGTGGTAGGCCCTGGACCTTACCCCTTCTTCAACGGTTGTCATGCTCAAAACATCTCAAAACTATAATTTATATATACATATCAACAAATTTAATCAAATTTATATATATATATATCAACATATATTATCAACATTTATCAACTACATAGCTGTAACTATTTCCCCAATTGATCTTCTCCATTTTGGTCTTCGCTTCCAACAGCGACTCCAGCACCCAGGAGGTGCCACACATCGCGGAGGATGCGCACGTGGCCTTTCCCACGAAGGTCTTCCGATTGCTGGGTCCCAACAACGTGCGAAAGCACGCGCCTGGGCCGCGCCTGGGAGGCCGCTAAAGCGTGGACAACATTTTATGGAGAACATTGGAGAAGCCAACAAAAAGGAGGGGTTAATATGATGTTTAACATTGTTTAACATTGTTTAACTTGGGATGATGGAGTGTCAAGAAGAGCTGTTTTTTCCAATAGCAACGAATACCAAATTACGTTCTTATTCACATCAAAGCATGACAATTCTGTCCATTTTGGGAACTACAGGGTGCCGAAGGTTGGTGAAAGCTTCGGGCGTGGTGAATTGGTGAACTGGTGGTTCCTAAAATGGAGTACCTTTAGGTCATCCTTAACGTTCTTGGTCATGTTTCATGGGGCTTCCCCAATTTTGTATGGGATCCCAATGTTTGTTTTGATTATGTGGGTGTCCCCAATCAAGGCATTTCAGCTCAGGGAAGCCCCCCGTTAGTACCTGTGCTGTCTCCTAAGTGGGTTTGCCGTACCCACGGGCTAGCCATAGCCTTTTGTGGCATTGGTGGTGCGCTGCTTGCAAGTGCTCTGGTGGCACAGAGCAGGCCACTACCCACCTGATCCCTGAACCTGCTCTTCCGCGTGGACCTCTCCGAGCTCTACACGCTGGCAGCTCACGGTGTATGAGATTGGTGTTCCTGGTGGTTTTTCTGCTCGGGCACTATTACCCCTTCACAGAGGAGAGCGCAGCGTCGGCTCCGACAGCAGGCAAGACTTCGCTGGCATCTGCATCGAACAGGGATTGCAATACTTGCCAGAAGTCAGATCGCGCAGATCTATCAGCAGCTCAGGGCTCATCATTCGAAGGACCCGTCCTTTCTACGCCGGCTTCGTACAGAAATGGCGGCTTCCGATGCTTACCCTTGGCTTTGTCGTTGTGGTCGCCGCAACCGCAAGACCATGGACTATTGTCCTTCGTGCACTCGCCATTGGCGAACTGGAACTCCGATCGAGCAGCACGAGGAGAGGAGCTACGCTACTTGGAGCGAAGACCAGCGTGGATGGGATGCTCCATGGGTGCAGTCAGGTTCTTCGCCTCGGCAGAGAACTACCAGTCCAAGACAGCGACAGCCCAAGAAGAACCGCCGCAAGAAGAACAAGCCGCAGATGGAAGCCGATGGGCGGAATCAGTCTCGCGGTCGAGGTCCGGCTTCAGCTCAACAACCGTTGACTCCGCCGCCTCCGCCACCATTGCCGACCGCGCCGCAATGGGCGCACTTGCAGAACACTGTCCTGCCTGTAGACACACCGACGACTGTGACATCCCCGGAGGCGCAACAACTCAAGGAGTGTGTCGCCCTGCTGAACAAGTACGAAGAAGGACTCCCACTGGAAGTCCAGTCTTACGTTCAAGGGATCAAGGCCAAGGATGTCAAGAGGTCAGTCAAGACACTCCATTCGGCGGTCACATCTATGGGACGATCCAGGGACGAGCTCCAAGCGGCAATTGCCGCCAGATCTCAGATGCATTCTACATGGCGTACCTTCCTTGCGGACAGCATCACCAGGTTCCAAGCTTATGGCCAGGATTTTGCCACCCAAGAAGAGCAATTGGTAGCAAGAATCCAGGAGGCAAAGAAGGCCTTCGAGCAGGCCAAAGAGAACCTCAGTGTGGAAAAAGCCAAGGCAAGCTCCCTGGACACATCGGTGCAGGAGGTGTCAGACGAGGAGACGGAGATCAAAGATGTGGTACTTGCAGCTCCCGACAAGATCACGGAGAGCCTGAACCATTTCTCAAGCAGCCTCGAAGGACTGCGATCACAAGCTGCCGATTTGGAGAAGGAGGAACAGAAACACAAAAGGCCAAGATTGGCAGATGCAGAGTCAGCCAAGCCTGGTTCTGGCGATACTGCCATGCCATCTTTTGGCTAGGCCGATGTCACGTGACGGAAAAGTACGGACATCAGTGGCCTTTGGTTGGGCAAGGTCAGTTTTCGAACACCTTGCAGTGGAATTTGTCCATTGTCGATGAGTTCAACTTCATGTCGACGTGGACATCTCGGGAATGTGCTGCCTCTTTGGCCTTTGAGCTTGGTCACCCTGGGTCATACCCTGCGAAGTCAGGGAAGCCCCGATCTCCCAAGACTGTCAGAGTTGGATTTCGTGATGAAGTTCGCGTCTTTCTTGGGGATGCTGACACTTTGAGGATGAGATCATTTTCCTTCAGTGAACCTTGTCTCGCCAAATGGCATGCCAAACCTTGGGCTAGACGCCCAACTGAGCGATCGGCACATGTTCAGTCATCGCCATTTTGGCAGTTGTTTTTGAATGATGTGGATTCAGATCCACCAATTATGAGTTGCAAAATAATCGACAACCATGGACGCCCGGATGGCTTTCCTGCAGATGGCAGTGACCATGGTTTTCCTGGACGTGATGGACATGGACAGCCTCCACCACGCATCCCGGACTTCACCGACAATATCATTGCGGCGCTTGGACACACATTGACTCCATTTGGTGGCCAGCCCGGCAATTTTCTTGAAATTCGCACGTGGTTTGTGGATCATTCTCAACCACAACAACATTGGGCATCTCGCATGATTTCACTTGAAGGAGACCAAGCCACATGGATTCAGCAACTGCGAGACGGCTGGAATGATGTCCTGGCACCAGACATTCCCACAGCCTACCAAATTGCTCATCCACAACCTGTCCGAGGTCATGCTGACATGTGGGTTACTTTGGACATCATTCTGTCCCAGAACATACACATTCGTCGATATTCTGGTTTGGTCACAGTGGCGTTTCTTGATGACTTGGAGGGCAACATGCGCTTTGCAGTGGCACATTCTTTCCCTCGCATGGTCAGCGGTTTTCTCATCATTGATGCAGTGGACTTGCACCATCTTTGCTCGCCCATTTCTTCCAGACGTTGCTCTATTTCTCATGGATGGAATGCCATTCCAGTGAATGCGGATGCAAGACATTTGATGCGTTCTGGGCATGCATTTCAGATTTTTGTGCCTGCTGATTCACAGCAAGATCCGGATCGGCTTGTCGAGGTCCCGGATCCTGCAGCTGTTGATGAGGGACATGCAGAATTTGGCAGTGATGTTCCCATGCAGGACAATGATGAAGAGAATCCACCGGATGAAATGTCTCCTCAGGATGATGATCTGGAAGATCCTGATCCTGGAACTCCTGATTCGAGTTCTTCAGAGTTGCCACGTGATATCCTCACATTGCTCAACTGCTTTATCTACCGACTGAATCATCCACCGCTACACTTGTTCCTGAACTACGTGGCTGGTGCGCCGCTCTTGATTGAGCTTGCGCATGTACTTCGGGTACCACGAGAGTCATTTGTTGCATCTTATCCAGTCTGGGTACGCATGGTTGGGCAGGCTCAAGAAGATTGGAGTATCATTGTACAACATCTTGATGACATTCCTGCGGCATCCGCAGATCAATTGGTGATCCTCGACGTGGAGGTGCATTTCCCGCACTTGGTAGGGCGAGTTCCAGCGTTTCCTGCCGCCATTCGTCGGGTTCTTCGTGTGCCACCCGCCATCACTCGACAAGATGTGCTCAGATATGCGGGCGTCTATCAATATTGTGTGGTCCAGCATGACAGCTGTTTGGTCTATTTCAACAATGAGGGATGGCCGATTCTCCGCCCAGGCCCTCGGCAAGTTCAACATGGTTCATACTTGCGTGTCATCGTACCACCCGATCGTGACGGCGCCATCAACACCTTGCAAGCCATACGGCAGGTTGAAACATATGTTGCGGGCTTGCTTGCATCGCCTGGCCCTGGAGCACCATCACCGGCACCAGCGCCGACGCCGATGCCTTCACCTCCATCCATGGGATCAGGACAGCTGCCCACGTGTATATCTTTGCACAGTTTGGAGATTTGGCATCGTGAACTTCGAGAGGCCTTTGATGCCCATGCTCACATTGAGAATACAGATGAAGGGAAAGCTTTGTATGCTGATGTTTGGTTCATTGACAATGTCAACTACAGAACATGTCGCCAGCCGGAGAAGGTCAAGTTGCTTGACGATGATATCAGTTGGTTCCCCCAGATCATGGAGTGTTGGATCCATCAGATGCAGGCTTCGGTACCTGTGCGGCTTCATGTTGTTCAGCCACTTCCACCGGCAACATCTCTGCAGTCCTTCACACTACATATCCTCATTGAGCAAAATGTCATGGAAGCCAGGGCCGCTGCCGTGCTTTCTATGCACATTCAAGAGCGTCTTGAGGACAAACTTTGGCAATCAGCTTTCTCTTTGCCTCGTTGGGTTTCTACAGAGGACATCATCGATGCGACAGAGCTCAACTTTCTTTGTGAAGTTCGACGTTGTTTTGCAGTTTGCGGTAGTATGCACTTTCAGCGATTCATTCGCGAAGAAATTGCTTCGGGCATCAGCATCGAGATCTTTAGTCGGCATTTTCGAGATCATGAATGTGACCCTTCTGCCAGCAGTCGACATGACCCATATGTACCTCGCATTGTACGAGCTACTTCTGGTAGGTCTCTCATGCAACGAGCAGCACGTCAAAGTCGGGTGAGTTCTTCCGTTGTAGCTGATTTTCAAGATGATACTTTGGAAGTATCACATCCTCATGTTGAGAACCCTGCTTTGACCTTGCATGGATTATGGCAACATCATTTCGCTCAGTGCACTGAACATGACCCGGACTTGCTATTGGTCGAGACTTGGTATCTTGATCATCTTCGCCGTCCTTGGTCCACTGAAGTGCGGCTCACCCAGTTGGGACGTGATTTCCGAGCTTGGGAGCCTCGTATCCGACGGGCTTGGGCAGACTGGATCATTGCTTCTCGTCCGGTCGAATTTCATGTGGTGGTCCCAGAATCACTGGATCCAGCGAGTGGAGTGCGCTTCCAGATTCTCATTGTGCAGCAGCCACAGCCCATGCGTCGCGCTGTACTTCTGGCGATTCAAGATGATACAGTTGCACATGATTCGCGATATCGTTTTGCAGCTACTATCTCCAGTACGGTTGACCACTGGCAGCTTCTTGATCTTGCGCATTATCAGCAATATTGCTTGGAATGGTATCAGTGGTTGACTTGTCGCACCTTTCTTGGTTCACGTGATCTCTCTGATGGAACTATCTTGCAGGTTGACGATGGAATGGGTTTCAATCTTTGGGTAAGCTCTCGATCGGCACCTCCACATGTCTCATTTGATGATGAAGAGGATGCGCAAGCGGATGCCGCTGCATTTCTGCAACTACATTTTGCCAAGCTTCTTCACAACGCTCACAGTCTCTTGGACAAGGACGTGGCGCTGGATGGCAGCTCTCCTGCCAGCGAGGAGCCATTTCTGATGGCAAATTTGGCGGTGACCGATCGCAATAGCTGCGTACTTCGGGGCTTGACCATCGCTACTCACCAAGTCATGCAGGAGCTGGTGGAGGCATTATCAAATTCCACTGCTTCGTTCTATGCTGGTGAATGTGGTGCCCACCTAGATGCCCCCACTCAGAATTGTACGAAGCCCAAAGTTGTATTATCGTTGGAGACTTGCTTGCCGTGTCCTTTGCCACCGATATCAGTTGATGGTGCCATGTTGATGCACAGTGACTCTCCGGATTGGCAAGATCGATTGCATCAGGCGACTCTCCAGTTCAATTGGCTGCCTGACGGTCTTCAGCTCCATGCATGTACCTATGCGGCACTTTCTGATCCTCATCGTTTTCGTGAACCCAACTTTGCTGGTCAGACGGTCTTATTCATTGATGGGGCGGCTTATGATGGTCACGCAGCATGGAGTGTGGTGTGTGTGCAGTTTGACAGCTTCGGTATACCAGCGCTCTTGGGGACAATGGCTGATTCTGTCTGTACCTGCCCTGCGCACCCCACTTGGATCGGGGCTGATCAGGCTGACAATATTTCAGCGGAGCTCACGGCCTTCATCTATGCGGCGGTGATTGGCATTACGGTTGATTTTGGACACATTCCTGTCGTTGCGCCTGACCTTGCACTGAGTGCGATGCTGGCTGACAGCCGATGCACTTGTTCGGCACATCCTGGCTTGGTACAACTGACTCACTGCTTAGGGCAGGCTTTTGCCAAAGCTGAGGGTCAAGTCCAGGAAGTGCGAGCGCATCGAGGGCATCCTTGGAATGAACTGGCAGATGGGGCTGCGAAATTTGTACTCCATACGAAGACTTCCATTGGAAATTGTCTCGTGCCGGTTTTGCAGGATCTGCTGCGTGCCAATGATGTCTCTTGGGCATGGCTTTCTCAACAGACGCCTGCTTTTCATCATTGTTTGCCACCATCACCCAGTCCTGGTGTGTGGGCTCTTACACCGCCCAAGAAAGGAGCTGTTAAGCCGCTTATTGCTCCTGAAAAGCACAACCCTGCACCGGTTCAATTTACTGTTGTATCAGCCAATGTGCTTGCCTTGGACACAGTCGATGAGACGCAGCAGGTTTTGCGAAGTTCCCGCGCTGTGCGTCTAGCGGCACAATGGCATCAGCAGCAAGTTGCAGTTGTTGGACTGCAGGAGACCCGCCGACCTGCAGGACGTGCCTTGCTTGAGCATTATCGCACCTTTTCCTCCGGAGCGGCAACGGCAGAGAAATGCCCGCATCATGGTTGTGAGCTGTGGTTGCATCGAGAGATTCCTTGGATCACCCTGCAAACTCACGGCCCTTTGACATTTGATCAAATGCAAGCCTCGGTCCCTCTGGCTGACCCCAGACGGCTTGTGGTCAACCTCACAAAGAATGACCTGGCAATCTCCTTTGTTGTATTGCATGCACCTTGTCGGTCAGCAGCACCTGATGGTACCCTGGAGGCAGTGCAAAAGTGGTGGAATGAAACAGTTCAGCTCCTCCAAAATCTCAAACTAGCACCTCTGACATGGATCATGGCTGATTTGAACGCTGACCTTGGTATGACTCCCAATGATCATTTTGGGGACCATGGACATCAGCATGATTCACCACAAGCCAGTATTGCTGAAGAAGCACTGATCCTTTTGGACATGTTTGCTCCGACTACATTTTCATGGTGCCACGTTGGACCTGCTTCCACATGGAAACACCCACGTGGCACAGACCATCGCATTGATTATGTCTTGTGTTCCAAACAGGCATTCGAGATGGCCCGCCAGTCATACGTCGCGCAAGATCATGACTCTGGTTTTTCTCACGAAGATCATTTACCAGTCTCGTTGCACTGTTGTGGATGGTTTCATGCGCTTGCTGGACGACCGCAGATCCGATGGGACTTTGCTGCGATGCAGGATCCTGAGCGTTGTCGCCAGTTTCAAGAGGCTCTAAAGACTTTGCCAATGCCCCAATGGTCGGCCGATGTAGACACCCATGCTGCGGTTTGGGAAGCCAACATCTTACAGCTGGCCCAGCAATTTTTTACCTCTTCCACAACTGAGCGATCTCGTCCACGCCTGACTGAACCCACCCGCAATTTGATTGCACTCAAGCGCTCAGTGCTGGACTATGGACGAAGCATGCAATTGATGCAAGACGATGACATTAAGAAGCATTTGAAGGAGATCGAGAAGGAGATTCACCAGCGCGTGTGTAAAGACCAACAAGATTTCTATGAACACTTGGTTCAGCAATTGGCCGACCAAGGTGACATTCACAACTACAAATATGTCTACAAACTCCTTGTCCGCCTTGGAGGACGTCCTGGTCACAAGGCTTCTGGTGGCAAATCACTGCCTCAGTTGTGCCCGCCAGGCCAGGCTCCATTGCAGACATATGAGGATCAGCAGATGCACTGGTTGAAACAGTTTGCGGCCGTGGAGGCTGGTCATATCCTGTCGCCAGATGCACTTCAACATCTTCATCATGGAGGTCTTGGCCTTGATCCTGCCAAGCTTGACAAGGCGGCCATCCCCACTCTTTATGAGTTGCAGACGCAGATCAAAAAACTCAAGCGTGGGCGAGCTCCAGGACCAAATGCAATACCAACTGACTTGTTGAAAGCAGGTGGGGCAGTCGTTGCTCAGCAACTCGCCACCATTACTACGAAGATTGCTTTGAGAGGATCGGAGCCGCTCTCTTGGCGCGGTGGCAAATTGATACCGTTATACAAGGGGAAGCTTTGTCGTTCGGATCCGCAGGCATACCGCTCCATCTTCATCTCAAATTACACTACGAAGATATATCATGCCAGTTTGCGTAAGCACCTCTTGGATGCGTGGTCAGATGCTTTGACGCATCTGCAGTTCGGTGGACGAAAGCAGATGGCGGCAGATCTTGCACATCACTGCCTTCAAGCCCACTTGGAGCACGCCACCCACCGCAAGATTCCTGCTGGTATTTTGTTCGTTGATATGAAAGCCGCGTTCTATTCTGTTGTTCGTCAAGGCTTGTTTGAAGAAGCACCGGATGCTGCTCCTTATTTGCACGCCATGTACAAGATGGGCATCACACCCGATCATGTGGCGCAGTTGATGGAGACTGCGGGTGAGGACGTGGCTGTCTCAGGTATTTCGGCTCATGCACTGGCCTTGCTCAAAGTTCTTCTGGAACGCACTCATTTTCATGTTGACGGGGTCAATGCATTTGTCCTTACGACTCAAGGGACACGACCTGGCGACCCAGTGGGTGATGCTTTCTTCAATTTGGCGATGGCAGTCATTTTACGCAAGGTGACCGACAGAATTGCCAACTGCACAGAGGCTACATGGGAAGGTCAAGCAGGTACGATCACTTCGTTTGATGGACTGCATGCCCCCGCTGCTTTTGCTTGGTTTGAGATTGCCTTCGTCGATGACTGTGCCGTTGCCATGCGAGCACCGAACAATGAAATGCTGGAGATGTTAGCCAGCACGGCCTTGAAGGCCATTGTCATTGAAGCTCGCAAGCGGGGGTTAGCCCTCAACTTTGAGATTGGCAAAACCGAGCTCATGGTACACTGGAGAGGAGCGGGTTCCAGGTTGTTCCGCGAGAAGATTGCTGCTCAGGGCGATATTTTGGCCGTGGCTGTTGAAGATGATCTGATCCGCCTTCATTGTACCCTGGGCTATAAGCACCTTGGAACCTGGTTACAGAACAACGCTGCTTCTATTCGTGATGCTCGTGCACGCCTCACTGAAGCACGCAAAGCATGGGGCCCCTTGGTGCGTCCAGTGTTTCGCCGCTGCCAGATCAATGCGCACACCAAGCGTCAGCTCTTTGACTCTTTGGTGATGTCGCGTTTGCTCTACAATGCACACATTTGGTCGTCGCTTTCTGATGATGAGATATCCAAATGGGCGAATGGAATTCGCCACATGGTCTATCCCTTTGTTCGCTGCGAGCTTCGTGGGTTACCACCATTTCAGTTTGATATCGATACCTTGTGTGGCCTTGCTGGACTCATTACACCTTGTGATGCTCTTCATGCAGCGCGCTTGCGTTATTTCCGACGCTGGATTGTTGGTGCCCCACCCCTCTTGTGGCATTTGGTGCATGCTTCGGCCTCTACCCCATGCTCATGGTTGTCTTCTTTGCGACAGTCCTTTCGGTGGTTCTCTACGTTCTACGGAGCTCGTTGTGGACTTACGCAGGACTCTTCGCTGGTTGACTGGGTTACTTTTGTCACCATTGATGAACGTTGGAAGGGACGTGTTCGAAGTGCCGTCAACTCTTGTCGCCAATTTCGGCGCCAGTATGCCTTTGTCGAGGTCTGGAAGGCTTCCTTTATATCTACGATGCAGGCGGATGGCATTGACATTCCGTCTGTTGTGGATGCTCCGGTGACCTGCTGGCGGTGTGATCTCTGCGAAGAGTCTTTTCAGTCAAAGCGGGCATTGGCTATGCATGCGAGCAAAGTCCATGGTTACAAAACTCTGGTCAAACATTTCGCAGCAGATGGAATGTGCGCGAACTGTTGTCGAGATTTTCACAGTCGAGCGCGCCTCTGTGCACACCTTCGGACTGCAGAAGAATGCTTCAGCCGACTTCGGGCCTGCTTTCCTCCTCTAGCCCTCGAAGTCATGCAAGCGAAGGAGGCGGAGGATCGAATGTTCGCCCATGACTTGAAGCGCCAAGGATGGGGTCCCACCAAAGCGCTGCATCCTGTGCTCCGCGCCCATGGTCCTGGCCTTCCTGCACCAGCGACACAGGATTCACAAGATATGTACAGGCGATGGACTCTTCGAGTTGGACAAGGTGATCTTTCTGCGGTTGAAGCTCTCTCTGGTGCTTGTATGAGCAATGAGGTTGAAGCTGTGAAGGAGACGCAGGAGTCGAATGAGATTGCCTTTGTCTACCAGTCCCCTGCAGGAGATCTGGCGGGACGCTGTGGTGTTTTTGCTCCTGGTGGTTTGGCGCGGCTTCATGCGGCACTTCATATTCGGACACTGTGTTTTATTCACGTGTTTTCCGGATACAGAAGACCCGGGGATCTGCAATGGAACATCGAGGCCCACCAAGTTCAAGGAGCGCTACAGATCTTTTGCATCAGTGTCGACTACTGCCTTCAGGCGGACCAAGGTGACCTCGCTGGAGCTCATAGAGTCGCTTGGTGGGAGAAGCAGGTTCTGAGTGGCGCGGTTTTTGGCCTCGGAGGCGGTCCACCTTGCGAAACGTGGAGTGCGGCTCGGCTGCTTCCTGATGGACCGTGCCCATTGCGTGACTACGACCATCCGTATGGACTCCCAGCTCTTTCGCAAAAGCATTGGCAGCAAGTCGAAATCGGCACTCATTTGGTGTTGTTCATCGTGAAGATGCTCTACTTGTGTGCCAAGATCGGTGGATGCGGCTTCATCGAACATCCGGCCTACCCCGTGTGGGCACTCCGCCACAGGCCATGCAGCATCTGGTCGATTTGGCCTATCAGATGGCTGCGGCGCCTGCAGTGCGTTGAGATCTGCACTTTCGACCAGTGTTGCCTTGGGTGCGAAGCGCGGAAGCCTACTACCCTGGCCCTCTTGCGCCTTGGTGTTTTTTCGCGCCATGTTCGCACACTTGGTCGACAAGGAGGATGCGCTCATCCCCAACATTTTCATCCCAGTCTTCAAGGCCGAGATGAGAGTGGCAAATTCAGAACAGCTATTGCAAAGGTGTATCCGCCGCAATTGAATGCAGTGATGGCCGACGCCATTGTACATCATGCACTTTTGCTGGCCGATGCATTGCCTGTGGTGGAACCACTGGCCCCTTCTTTATTGGAGTTGAACCGACTGGATTTTGAGACAGACCTGGTCCAACCGGACTATTACGGTTTGTAGTACAGGGTCGGTTTCTACTCGTCTCAGCATGCACCGAGCAGAGACTCTGCAGTATGCCTAAAGGTAAAAAAGGTGTCCCCAATCACTATGGGACCATATGGGACCCTTGGGGACTCCCAGCAACTAAAAGACAGCCCGTGACTTCGGCGCGCGAACGAGGATTTGTTTGTCATGCGAAAGGCGCCTGGAAAATCTTTGGATCATCTCATCTCCGAAAAGTGGAGGAGCTCCAAGCTCGATGCCGCAACAAGATGGTTTAGATGGGTATGGATCAATACCTATTAATACCATTTTTAGGGGGATGAACATGCATTTACCAGCTATTTTGATGTTCACCAGGGGTACACGGTTTTGACACACTGCCATATAGATGGGCCTGAAAATGGATAAAATGGTCTATTCCCACCATTTCCATGGAATTTTCGGGAAAAATCAACCACGGGAGGTGGGGGGTACCCTATTTTCAGACAAACCAGGTATTTTCATAGTTCATGATATAGATAGTAGATCAAAACTCTGAAGTCCTGGGCTGGGGGTTGTTTCCAAATGACTTTTCTTGTTTGACCATGTCATTTCCTCGAGTTTTTTTGGATTTTGGTTTACCTGGCCATCGAAATGTTTGTGACTGACCAATTCCAAGTAATTGGATCGGTACCACTAAATTCACTGCTTACTATAGTGATTCTTTCTCTAAACATTGCTATTTGCAGTTTTTTTGCGATGTTCCCGACCGTATACGCCATACCCATCATACCCGACACAGCCACCTGGGTCACCTGGGTCACCTGGGCAGGAGCAACCGGAAGGGAGATATCATGAAAATCTTTGCGAAAGTCGGTGAATGTTTGGCCCAGTTTCACAGGTGAGGAGCGTGACATCTTAGCATTCTTAGCATCTCAGTGGTTCGATGATCGGCCGAAGCCCTGACGGATCCTAACGGTGCTGCTATATATGGTGTGCCATGGATCCCATCAATATACCCCCTTTATGTTAGCATATATACCTGCACCATGGATCCTATGGGGAATGGAGGTTCTTCCAAGTTTTGATGTGAATTCTGCCCTGAACTCGAGGTCCGCCAATCTACAACTGCTGAAGTATCATTTCAGGGATCTTTTATGGATCTGTTGGAATTACATCATTTTTGTAGATTCGAAGTGGTACATCTTCCGGTGTCACTTCCCTTTTTTCACTTTTGCCTCCGCGACTCTCGAGGCGGTATGGCGGAAGGCAGCACAATGATGCTGGAACCCAGAACATCCTCTATGACGAGGATGACCGAAACCATTGACGATACCATTCGGCTTGGCTCGGGAGATCTCAGAAGTCCAGCTATAGCACTTTTCGGGAGATCTCACATGTCCAAAAATGTCACTATAACAAGTGGCCAAAAGCAACATTGATCGGTTAAAACCGTGTATTATGATTGTTTTTGATTGTTTTTGATGATAAACAACAACTGACAGAAGGGATGATGAACATTTATTTATTTATTTTGATGAGTTTTACAGCATAAAAACGTGGCACCTTGTAGGGTTTGTGACTTGACGGGTACCTCAAGAAGTTGATGATCACTGAACACCTTGTGATTGGGAGGCCTTCCACTCTGTCAAAATACTCTATGGAAACTGGTTGATGGGTTGGAACATTTTTTACTTTTCCATTTCCATATATTTAATTGGGAATAATAATCCCAACTTACTAATATTTTTCAGAGGGTTGAAACCACCATTTAGGAAAAAAACATCTAAGATCCACAAACTCTGAATCTATTGACAAATCTCTTGATACCCCAAGTACTGTGAGAACCTGACTTAATCACTGATATTCCATCTCCTTCCTGAAAAAAGTGTATGTTGAGGAGTCCTGTAGATTCTGACCTTTCTGACCCAGTTCAAGAAGCGGTTCCAAAAGTCATTCCTCATCAACCAGTGGCTACTGGGTGAGCTTGTAACCGGTTTCAGTTTTGCATGGGGACAGCATCAAGCGGTGCAGGAGACGCAACATGTGACCTTCATCGATTTGGGCGGCATGGGGAACAAGACCGATAAGACTGACGTCCAGCGCTTGAGTCAGGCCTGTGATAAACCCAATGCAACTAAAGACACCATCAATAAATGTATACCGTGTACCTTTTATGTCTTGTTTTTGCCACCCATTTATGGTACAACATTGGGATAGTTTCTTAGAGTTGTTTACCACATGATATGTTGTATGTTTTTGTCTTCCAGGGTATTTTTGGCACATGCCACTCTACTGTTTTTGGCATTGACCAAGGACGATCAATGACTCGGGTTGGGTTACGTAACCCACAAGGTGATGCAGTGTTTGGCCGTACTGAACGCGGCTAGTGTCAATCCCGCTATCAATCCTACAGGTTGTCTGAGTCTAATTGATTGGGGGTTAATTTTGGCAAGAAAAACAATGTACATAGACCATGGTTCGTTGGTTAGCTGATGATTTCTTTGTGGGTCATAGCCCATTTAAATCCATCCGCGGAATGTTTTTGCGAGCAATCTTGTGCTTTCTGATGCTTACCCCCAGTTACTGTATTGATTTGCGTTTGACATTCCTTCATTACCCTCTGGTGAACTAACATAGCAATGGAAAATCACCATTTTCAATGGGAAAATCCACTATAAATGGCCATTTTCAATTGCTATGTTAGTTCACCAGAGGGTATAGTATACAGATGACTTGGGATTGTTTAACGATTCTATGGCTTCACAATGGGAATCCCATGACCCAGCAAAGGGCACTATTTGTATCATTTTGTATCTACCCTCTGGTTATGACTGTTACATAGCCATGGTTTTTCGATGGCCCTAATCGAAATAGATGGTTTACCGTTCTTAAACATGGTGATTTTCCATGGCTATGTTAAATCACCAGATGGTATTTGTATTTAAGAAATGTCAAACAGTTAGGCAAACGGAAAGTACCCCATGGTGATCCATTTTCAACCAACTCATAACTAATCACAAAAACAGGGTGAGGGTCCCGTAGATAGCTAACTTAAAACATAGAATTGGATGATGGGAAAATTTACAGGAAAGCCCTATATTTGATGGTAAAAACCATGGTTTCCTGTAGATTTTCCCTTAAACCAATCCAATGATTAGAACTTGGTTAACAGGATTTTGGGGGGGATCCAACAAAAGTGAACGGGGGTCAACACGACCAACTGAAGGGAGGTTGAAGCCATCCCACCCTCAGTTGGTGCTGAAGCTCTCCCGGTGTCCCACCTACGGACCGGACCTGGCTGTGGGGAAACCTGGTGGGCTTATCCCTGATCCAAGGAGCTCAGGAAGTCTTCTGGGTATGATTTGATATCCCATAGAATCCATGTATGGTATACATATGCTACCATTGGGGGTATATTGATGGTACATGTTACCAGATATATAGCATACATGGATCGTATGGGTATGGAAGTTCAGGAGTTTGGATACATTGGATAGGGGATTTGTATACCGAGATTTACCCTCTGGTAATTTAACAGTTTGCCATGGAAAAAAACCATCGATTGTTGTTGAATGGGTAAATCATCGAACTATTTTTGTCCAAAAGCGATGGAAGAAAGTGCTGGGGCGTACTCCAAAATCAGCCAAGAGTAGGAAAATGCGGCTGGATGGCATGCATGGTATGGATGGTATTGAGTATTGGCTGTGTGTTCATTTAGTTTGCGAAGTCCCGCCGAGAAACCATGGATTCTTGGATAACCTAGAATGCCATAATGCCATATATCGATCATGTTTTCATATTTTGGCAAACCCAATGCCAGAAACCTACCATTGGCAATAATCCATCCATATGTGCTATATTTAGCTGCAGTTGGACCATTTTTGGCTAGATGCTGGCAACCAAAAACAGTGCCATGATGTACCCATAATATCATCCCATATCTATATTGAGGTATGGTCATATCCCATATATGTTGGACTAATAAACTAATATGGAGCGAAAAAAGTGGCCAATATCAGGATTACCAGCACGCATGGGATAGGTATAACATCCCATATACATCATCCATATACCATCTTTTGACCGTGGCACAAATGGGTGGTGATCACCGTGTCAGACCCAACTGATTCGTCAAACTTGGGGCCGCAAACCAGAAGAATTTGTTGTCGAGACGGGATATCCTAAACTCTCATAAACAGTTTAGGTATTATTTTCGATGATTTCGATGATGTCCCCTTTGAAAACGAAACATCTTTGGTTATTTGAACTGTAGCTAAACACTCCCATTTATGGTCCCATTTATATGTGGTTTTGTCCACTATAAAGCTATGGTTTCTGGTTTTCCATGTTAGGATGGGATCAAATCCTGTCAGGTGGCTGTGGATCACTTTCGGGAAGGCCGAAGAATTTTTGTGGGCAGCGATGAAGGGCCGATCTTAGGTGAAACCATGTGAAACCCCAAAGTGCACTGAGAGTTTTATTGGAATTGTAAGATATTGTATTGAAGTATACTATTGGAATTGTAGATATAGTCATATAGTATAGTTTTATTGAATATATATATATATTATAATTATATATATATATAGTTTTATTGCAAGTATAGATAGTGCACATCATCCAATAAAACTACACTATAGAGTAGCTAAATTGGTATATTGGTAAGCATAGAGTATAGATTGTGTATGCTCCATGGTCCCGGAATGTGTCGGAATCTTGAGCATTTTTTCCGCAACATCATCCAAAGTTGTGGTCCCGATGTGATATCCCGATGTTGAACTCAAAGTTGGTAGATATTCCATTGCCCATAGGATCCATGTAATATGGTATATATGCTAACATTGGGGGTATATTGATGGTAAATGTTACCATATATAGCATACATGGATCCTATGGGTTGGAGCGTATGTGTGACATGTGCACTCTCATCAGACCCAGAGATGTTCAACTGATATCTGTTGGACTCAGTTCAGCATGGTTCCCCGGTAGATCTCAACATATTTTAACCATTTTTGCCATTTGTTTTTTCAACGCTGGGACACCTTGAAATCCTGGAAATTCTATGGGTGTTTTCGGGTTGATTCATCCATTCTTACACCAAACATGACCATGATTTGTAGGGTTAATGCGATACACCTGGCTGTCTACTAGCCGCTCGCCAAAAAAAAAAACGCTTGCCCACGGACCATGGTTTTTCGTTCCTCTTGAGACCATCGAGTGAGTTTCAAAGAATCATCATGGGCCACAATGGGCCATTGGAAACAACAGGGGCTTTACCCTCTGGTAAACATACAAAGAACTATGGAAAATCATATTTTTTTATAATGGGTAAATCCACTATAAATGGCCATTTTCAATAGTTTTTTGTATGTTTACCAGAGGGTAATGGAATATGATTCCGATAAGCTGGACCTGAGTATCATCACAGATTCAGTCAGATATGCCAAATGAGTTTTAATCAACGTGAGTGAAGAGGACGGGAATGGATCATAAAATGTCATCGTTCAAGAGCCCTAAACCCATTGTACAGTATCAAGTACTCTCTGGTAATTTAACGTAGCTATGGAAAATCACCATTTTTAATGGGAAAATCCACTATAAATGGTCATTTTCCATAGCTATGTTAAATTACCAGAGGGTATAGACACTGGTACCACTGTACTGTCTTTCACGTTACTCACAGAGGACAAGCCATGACAAGCCCGACATTTTCATCACTGCCACCTCCAACCCGCCACCTGCCACCGTGAGGCTACAACCGAGCCTTACAAACTACACTCACTCTTTGATTTCCTGCCGGCTGTCACTGTGAAAACTGAATGGATGTGTTTTTAGATGTTTTTAGCCATGATTGGGTTTCCAAATCACCAACTAAAGACATCAACTGTGAATCATTGCCATAGTTCCAAACCAAACCCAGCCTGAAATGGACGTCAACTTTGAATTTCGCAGATGTCACGGAAGCCGTGGAGAGGCACAAACCTCATAGAGGTTCGCGGTCCAAGTTTTTGGTTGGATTTCCCTCGGTAAAGGCGGAGGTTTGAAGTCACAGTCGTGACCGGCAGCAACTATAGGCAACTATAGATGGCTGCGGTCTGAAATACCTGTTTTGCGGATTTTGCGTGGCTCCGACAGAAAACATTGTTGAGATTGAATCAATGCTTGATGTGCGGAAGAACTTTTTAGGAACTACTGTACCAAAAGCTGCTTGTTATGCAGTATTTCATGATAAATCATCAAGTAGTATCTTGATGTACCTGATTTTCTGTCACATCTGGCATGCAAAGATTTAAGTCCGTCGGCCCGTGGGCCACGTGGGCCACGTCTGGTGGGTGGTGTTGGCAACTCACGAGCAGAAGCCACGACCCCACCGGACACGGGACACGCAGGGAATGGTGCCGTGCGTCGCAAAGGATGGAATCCGAGTGATCCAAGTGATGTCCTGGAGGGTTCAATACCGCCAGTCCATTGGTAATGTATCAATGGCCATATTTCAGGAACCTAATGGAACCTATATAAATTGGAGGTACCTACCATATATATCCATATATAAGGCCGAAATTTCAGGGAATATCTCAACAAAATATGATTAAAAAGAGTTGGTACTAACGTCCCTCCATTTTAGGATCCTGAAATGCCCATTGAAATTATAATGTTAAGTATTGTTAATCATTGTATAGTATCATAAATAACAGTCATAATATCTAATCATAGTTAATAGATAGTTAATATAAAATAGAATGATAGTTAATAGATAGTTATATTACATATAGATATATAGTATCATGAACAGATAGTTGTTATAATATAATACAAGAATAATAGTATCATTAATAGAATATAATAATGGTATCATTAATAGATAGTTAAAATCATGATTGTTAATAGATACGTTCTATACCAATGACTTGACCATTACCCTCTTAGATATAAACGGCGACAGTCGATCCTTCGTCGACCCTTCGACAAACGGCTGACGAAGATTTTCCCAACGGCACCGCTGGGGGCAATCTGGGCAGGCAGCGGATCTCTCAGAGAGTTGGATCCATTGCCAGTTTTGCGGAAGGTAGGTGACAAGAAGTGTTCCCAAGATATGTTTGAGTGTTTCTTATATCATTCTAACATAATAATACGGCAAATGCCTGGGTTTTGCCCGGACCCGCAATGACGACGGGCAACGCATCATCATCATCATCATCAACATCATCAACATCATG